TATCTATCTATCTATCTATCTATCTATCTATCTATATCTATCTATCTATCTATCTATCTATCTATCTATCTATCTATCTATCTATCTATCTATCTATCTATCTATCTATCTATCTATCTATCTATCTATCTATCTATCTATCTATCTATCTATCTATCTATCTATCTATCTATCTATCTATCCTTACAATAACCACCACCACCACATCGTTACTACAATCACCACCATCGTCATCGGCCATCATAACCATCACCACCGTCACCATTATCCTCGTCATCTCCACCCCTCTCCCATCATTAGAATCAGAACCACCATTAACACCACCATCGCCATTATCTTCATCCTTACAATCACCACCACCATCATCACCACCATTATTACCACCCCCACCATCATCATCACCACCCCAACCATTATAATCACCACCCCACCATCATTATTATCACCCCTACAATCAGTCACCACCATCACTATCATCATCATCATCACCACCACCCCACCATCATTATCACCATCCCCACCATTATAATCACCACCCCCACCATCATCACCACCCCCACTACCATCATCACCTCCATAACCATTATCCTCATCATCACCATCCCCACCATCATCATCACCTCCATCCCCATTATCCTCATCATCACCACCCCCACCATTATAATTACCACCCCTATCATATAATTAACCACCCCCACCATTATAATTACCACCCCCACCATTATAATTACCACCCCCACCATTATAATTACCACCCCCACCATTATAATTACCACCCCCACCATTATAATTACCACCCCACCATTATAATTACTACCCCCACCATTATAATTACAACCTCCACCATTATAATTACCACCCCCACCATTATAATTACCACCCCCACCATTATAATTACCACCCCACCATTATAATTACCACCCCCACCATTATAATTACCACCCCACCATTATAATTACCACCCCCACCATTATAATTACCACCCCCACCATTATAATTACCACCCCCACCATTATAATTACCACCCCCACCATTATAATTACCACCCCCACCATTATAATTACCACCCCCACCATTATAATTACCACACCCACCATTATAATTACCACCCCCACCATTATAATTACCACCCCCACCATTATAATTACCACCCCCACCATTATAATTACCACCCCACCATTATAATTACCACCCCCACCATTATAATTACCACCCCAACCATTATAATTACCACCCCCACTATTATAATTACCACCCCCACCATTATAATTACCACCCCCACCAATATAATTACCACCGCAACCATCATCATCACCACCCCAAATATCATCATCACCTACATCACTAGAATCCTCATCAACACCATGCCCCACCATCATCAACATCACCCCTACAATCAATCACCTCCATCACTATTATCATCATAACCACCACCGCCACCATCATCACCCCTCCCATCGTCATCACCACACCACCATCATCATCACAACAATCATCACCATCCCCATCATCATCACCACCCCCATCATCATCATCACAACCATCATCATCACCACCCCCATCATCATCATCACCACCATCATCACCATCACCGATCATCATCACCACCCCCATCATCATCACCACCCCCATCATCATCACCACCCCCATCATCATCATCACAACCATCATCACCACCCCCATCATCATCACCACCCCCATCATCATCACCACCCCATCATCATCACCACCCCCATCATCATCACCACCCCCATCATCATCACCACCCCCAATATCATCATCACCACCCCCAATATCATCATCACCACCCCCACCATCATCCTCACTACCCCATCATCATCATTATCGCCATTTTCCTCGTCATCACCACCATCGCCAATTTTATCGTCACGTGCTGTAAAGACAAGACAAAGCTGACATGTTTCGGACTCTCAAAAGATTATCTCAATCACGGATCTGGTCTTTTTTTTTTTTTTTTTCCTTCTTTCTTGTTATCATATAAATGTGGCCAGCTCCTTTTCTCTCTTACTCGTTTTACATCAGTCTCCCCAGTTGTTACCAAGCTCTTGAGCAGGGCTGCCGTTTTTTTTAAGGGGGGGGGGGGGGAGGGGGGGGGGGGGGGGGCGTACCAACATTTTTTTTAGAAAAGGTACCGAAACACACCTAAAGGAACTACATTTTTTTTCTTAAGATTTTTCAATTTAAAAAAAAAAGCGTTAAATGTCTTTACAAACACATACACACACACACATACACACACACACACACACACACACACACACATAGATACACACATAATTGGATTAACTCATATTTTATTCAAAATGTTGATACTTTTCGCGTCTACACAAGACGTATACTAACAATTGCTCGCATTCTGAATATGCTTCCTGTTCTATGCTTGTGGTGGCTTTTTATTCTCAACGATAAAAAGTCAATAGTTTTTAGAGGGGAGTGGACTAGTTTTAACTCCCAGCGGACTAATCGAGCTACTATTGTGTCCCATGTGGTCAGTTTGGCTGACAGCGTCCAGAAACAATAAATAACCCAGCAAATGTTGGCCAAAACTGGAGGATTGTAGGAGAGCTTGATCGATGAGAGCGTTGGGAGTTCAACAACTACGGCACCCGTGAATCATAGAGCACCGGACTGTAAGGATCTGTTCCCGATTTGATTAATTACTTCTTAGAAGCCGTAAGCGCGTATACTTTGCAAGGGATATTAAGAAGTGCAGTTCAGACAGGACCGTACTCAGAAAATGGTTCTAAGCTGCTACAGGCAGTAAACAAGAGGGACTATGTTGCACCTGAGAGCCAGACACAGCGCCCTCTGTCTCGTTGGGCTATTCTGTGCGAACAAAATGAGAAGCAACAGGGAACGAAAGCAATTCTTTAGGGACCCGTTCCAGTTTGCCCGAGCTCTGTTCGAGCAGCCAAAGTCTGGGACTCTGGTGGTCAGTAAAGAGGAGTTGGGTTACATCTACTGAAGATGTACTCAGATCGGAAAAGGAATTAACCTCTCGATGATAATCCAGAGATCACCAGCAGCCTGAAGCGGCCAGAGTTGCCGAAAATACCGTTTAAAACAAATCCTCACTCTTGGTCTGGGGTCGAAGACGTTGTAAAGAGAGCTAGCGGCAGGTCCGCCCTAGGGCCCAATGGTGTACCGTACGTCGTGTACAAGCGACGCCCGAAAGCCCTACAAATTCTTTACAGCTTGCTAAGATTAGCGTGGAGCCGAAAACACATTTGTACTCGGTGGCAGAGAGCCAACAGGGGCTACACTCCCAGGGAGGGAGACTCCTCGAATCTGTCCCAATTCAGACCTATCTCGCTGCTAAATGATGAGGACAAAATATTCTTCTCGGTTATGGCTCGCAGGCTCACACAGTATCTGATGGCGAACAAATTCATAAATACGACTGTTCAGAAAGGTGGAATCACAGGCGTTTCCAGGTGCCTTGAACACGCGAACACGTTATGGGAGTCTAGTCAGAGGGCTAAGGCAGAGAAAACCATATTGCACGTGATATGGTTTACCATGCCAACGCCTTTTGGGCGGTACCCCATAAGCTACCGGGGCAGACCCTTCGTATGTTCCACGTACCGATACAGATCACCGAAATTATAGAGCAATGTTTTTTGAAGTTAGCCATACGCTTTTTAACCCTACGTTTACTACGAGATGGACTGAGCTCCAAGTTGGAATAGCAGTCGGATGTAGGATCTCCCCAACACTGTTCGATATGGCCTTGCAGTTCATGTTAGACGGGGCTGCCAGCTAAGGGCTAGGCCTTCAGACGGGGGACCACTGGATGCCGCCACTACGTGCATTTATGGATGACACACCTATTGGTGATTAGTGATTAGAAAGGAGTATCATCATAGCACTCCGGACAGATTAATAGGTGCTCCGATCTCCTCCTTAAAAGCTCAAAAAGTGTAAAACGACTGATGACGCCTATTCTATGTTGGTTAATGAAACGTCTTGTCCCCTTAGTGAAATGTTCATTTCTTGCAACTCCAGGCTGCACCCCCATGTCCATCAGTCTAGACAGGGATATGGGGTCATGTCCTTTGGCGTGCTCCTCGGTACGGTAAGTGCAGCACATGGCATTGATAACATCACTTCTGTCCAGTACTGGGCCAGCCATAGCAACTTCACTGTCAGCAAGATAGTCTGCACACTCGTTCCTTTGAACACCCGCATGACCTGGAACAAAGGAAGGTTAGGGCAGATATTCGTGAAATGCTTAGTGTTTCAATCCATTTTTGCCTGATAAATCCAGCTCGGATATTTTAAAGCATAATAATCGAGTCACTAAGAGTGCATACGTGTGTGAATTTTTGAGTACCAAGCCATGCTAAAGCCCTTGTTGCAGCCATAGTTTCCATTGTAAGGCTACTAGCTGTAACAGCAAAGGCGCCATTCATCTCCTTGATGGTTTCCCCCTTGGGCTTACTGTGAAGGCCCATGCACTTCACTTTGCTTGCCCCTAATTACTGACCCATCTGTGTAAACTCTATCACCAACTTCATCTATGTTTTCGTTAATCAGTGTTCCGACTAAAATGTAAACAATGGCAGGAATCAGCTCTCTACAGCTCCCACCAAGACTGTAATATTAATGTTTGGAGAGGGATGCATAATTTTCACAATTATTGTCAGTAAGGCGGCAAACATGTTCGATGGCATCCTCAGCCCGACCCATCGAAGATTTGCCTATTCTTTTTTTGCTTCGAATAACTCCTCATAAAGTGGGTTTAGATGGGCTGACTTCACTTTGAGGAAAGCAACAGCCCTGGATAGCTTGATTCTGTTTTCCATTGTGCGAGAAATCTAAGAGGTATTGCATGGATTTACAGGAGGTGTCTCTAGTGCATCCCAGAATAATGCGCATTGTCTCGTTTTAATTTTTTCCAGTCTGTTCATCGGTGTGGTGCTGATTGTCATGATGACGATAATTCAATCTCACATAAAACATTTAACAAGATCATTCATTTATACTCTGTTCTTTTTTAATCGATCCAAAGCTGAAGGTCCCAAATCCTTTCTGCTTTTGTTTCTGGTATTCAGCTTCCCTTCCACCTGCTTCCCCTTACAATCTCTCTCACTGCAGCTCCCAAGTACTGCTCCTGCACTCCCTTCTTTCGCTGGACAATCTTTGATTCACTGCTAGCTCCTTTCATCGTTTCCTGGGCATGAAGTCTACTTTGTCAGGCTTGAGGTACGTCTTCTTGGGACGTTCCTCTGCGGCCTCATGGCAGTTTTCACATCCACCTGTCCTATTTGGCCATCTATTGTGATCATTTCAGGCCGAACCTTATCCAACAACATGTGCACTTTAGTCTGTTTTTTATTAAATTTTTATTTTTGGAGACCTTGACCTGAATGGATTTGCTTCCATTGCATTACAGTTAGGTTCCTCGGCACCTGGAACTACAGTGCTGGAGAATTCCCACCTGTGTCCTATGCCGAGCACATCCTCAAACGGAGAGAGCATGAGATTTGACACCAGCCTGTCAGCACGATGGTAGATGTAAGGCTTGTCTAGTGTGTGGGTCTGGGTGGTTGTATCTTTGTACAGCTGCACCACAAAATTCTGGAAACTGCAAAGGCAGATGCAAAGAAAAGATCGGCCTATGACAGTCGGAACAATTTGTAGAGACAATGGTGTGCGTGTAACAACAGACAAGGAGAAGGGGGAGGCTTTTCTCCATAGGTTTATAGCTCAGACAGATCATAATGATGTAGACATCAGGGATGCAGTTAGAAAGGAGTTAGCTGGCACCTTGAAGAATATGCATTATGAAGACATGATACAAGTGGAAGATATCATACAAATTTTCAAAAAAGGCAAAAGACACTGCACCAGGGCCGGATGGAGTCAGGTATGGTCACACGAAGGCTTTGAGCTATGCAGACCTGGCAGAGATGGCTGACAGTTTTAACCAGAGCATTAGGACAGCATCAGTACCGCAGGACTGGGTGCACAGTTATCTAATCCCACTACCAAACCCTTTTAAAGATCGTTCTAAGCTCAGTGGCTATAAAATCATCACATTACAAAACACATTTGGGAAGGTATTGGAGAAGATAGTTGCTGTAAAGCTGCAAGATTTTTTGGAAAGGGGGAAGCTTCTCCCAAGAGGTCTGGGAAGCTACAGGCCAGGAAAGGGCACTTGGGCAAATGCGGCCACTTTTGCTTTTGACGTCTATGAAGGGTTCCAGAACAGACAGGAAACTATGGCAGTAGGACTGGATCTCGAGGATGCTTATAACAGAGTGAGATACGTCATCGTAATGACTGCACTGAGTAAGAAGGAGGTCAGCCCATGGCTGGTGAACTGGGTTGCAGCTGTCCTGTATTCAAGTCGAGTTGCTCTTCGACTGTGCTCATGGACCACAGAACCAAGCACTTTGGCCCCAGGACTGCCACAGGGATTAGCCATCTAGCCTGTGCTCTTTAACGTGTATACGAGCAAGATTGCAAGCCTAGAAGCACCAGGAGTTGGAAGGATACTGACTTTTGCGGATGATATACTAGCATATAGGCGGGGGGGGGGGGGGGGGGGGGCAAACAGCCCGGGAGCTACAAGCGACAGTAGACAAAGTGACTGAGTGGTGTGCAGAAATTAGGGCTGTTGCCCACCCGGAAAGGCGTCTGTTTTGTGGTGTTCTCTGGACAACAGAATCGTTAAAACTAATGTCCCAAGTCTCACGATAGATGATAGAAACGTCAATAGAGAGAGCAAACTGAAGTATCTGGGAATTACATTTGACAGGAGCCTGTCATTTAAGGACCATGTGGAGAGTGTTGTGACGAGATGCCAAAAAGGACTTAGTGCACTTAAGACTATGGCTGCAATTAACATAGAGCAGAGAATGCTTTTCCTACTATATCAGCACCTGATCCTGTCAGTAGTTGATTATGCCCTGAGATTGCTTACCGTCTCAAAGAGTCAGATGGACAAACTAGAGCGCATACAGAACGCGGCTATGCGGGTCATTCTGTGGTGTGTATGCGATACATCCTTGGTTTGTCGACGGTTGCGGATAGGCACAAGGTGCTGCAGGCGAAGTCATATTTCAATATAGCTGCAGACACAGACCACCCTCTGCATGAAGCTCTTGGTGCAGTTAAGGGTCAGCGGCTAAGAGGGAGGTCATAGATGGCTCAGGCAGAAGACACAATCAGACAAGTTTGCATCCTTAAGAACATTAGGCGAGGAGAAGAGTGGGTCAAAGTGCCACCTGAACAGTCAGACTTGTGTAGAGTCATAATCATGCTGAGCCGGGAATGTAGAGACTGGCCAGCAGGTGCCACAGAGATGGAGATTCAGCAGTTAATTCAAGATAATGCTCGCCCAGAGGATTTGATCATTTACACAGACGGTTCAGTGTCAAGAGGCAAAATAAGTGCTTGGGGCTTCTTAGCAAAACTTATTGGTCGACGTTTAGTGCAGGAGAGTCTAGCATATAATACCACAACATCCAGCTTAAGAATGGAGGTGGAGGCGGTCACTGCAGCTTTCCGCTGGTGTGAGAACACTGCACACACACATATTGTGATTGTAACTGATTTAGAAAGCATGCTGAGGAAGATCAGAACAGGTATGCTTCGTGCAGAGTGGTATGCTTCGCTGCGGAGGACACGGGTGAGGACTATTGTCTGCACTTTTTCACCGGGGCACGCAGGTGTGTTGGGAAATGAACAAGTAGAGGGACTGGCTGGCTCTGCACAACTTGGTGAAATACTGATACATGATAAGGCAGACGTGTTTAGTGCCTTGTGGGAGAGCGTGTACAGTTCGGAGGAGCAGATGGATCACCACAGCCTAGTGAGATATATGCAGCGGGGAGTGACGAGAGGTTCTGGCAGATGCTCGAGGCTCAGAGGAAAAGTTTAATCAGAATGCTACTGGCACCATTAGTATCGGAACCCTTTGCTGGCTGCTGAAGATGGGGACAGAGCGCTTATGTGAATGCCCCGAGTGCTGAGATGTCGGTTCTTGAATCAAATCAAATCAATCAAATCAAATCAACACCTCCACCACATTGTCTCTGCTGACAGCTAAAATTCCCTTCTGACTAAAGTACAAAAGTCATGGACAGTGGCTTCTGATGTATTAGAATCGGCTAAGTTCTTTGTACATTCTTAAATTAAAAATCTTCAGTCTGCGATCTATACCAGTTGTAGCCATGTAGGTTGCGGAAGCATCCACAGCTACATCCCTCAAGGCACTGGCATGATACAAGACTTTTGCGGTTGGCTCTTACATATTGGGTATTCACACCGAAACCACACCATTGGGATGTCCTAGGTGGACAATGGCCGACTGGGGATTCACGGCCATCACGTCCAGTCGACCTTTTTTAGTATATATCCCTGCAACTTCTTTGCTGATAGATACATCCAGATAGGAAAAGTATCCCTTGGCACTTGAAGAACATAGAAGGAAATGATATGGTAGGAACTCTAATCTTAAGGCCATATCCAGGTGTTTCAGATAATGGATCTCTACTTCTTGATTGTCGTAGAGGTACACCCTTTTTTTCTGAGCTACTGCAAACATCGTTTCCTGATGCAGCCACTTCACATCAGAAACAATTTCCATCACATTTTCTTTGCAGTGTAGTCTCTTTGTCTGCCAGTCGAATGCTGCAACATGACCTTTGGCCCCAACTATGAGAAAGTGCCTCCCATTGCGAGTGTAGTCTATTCTGTTAGGCATAAACTTGTCTAGGCGAAGGTCAAATATTTTCTGCTGCGTGGCCTTATCAAAAGTCTCCTTAATATAATTCTAGGTAATATCGTATGTCGTGTCACCTTCTTGCCCATCTGTCTCCTCCACACACAACAATTCACTTCTGGCTGATTTATTTGCAACTTTTTCAAAGATTTCCTCTCTTTCTCTGATCTTGTTTGTGTGAAAGTATGTTTTGGCGAAACCCTTAGCTTTTTCACCTTTCCTCTCATTTTTTTTTTTTTTTTTTTTTTCTGGAACCGGCTTCTCTGTGACGTTTCCATTTGGTCTTCTTGAAAAACTGAATTTTACCCTGCCTCTGTTGTCCGGCTCTAGTTGATTTTCTGTTTTTTTTTTCCTTCATTCTTTTTTGACAGTTCCATTACTGACTTTGTGAATTACTACAAGTACAGTTCACAACTCCTCGACCTCGGTGTATTTGTCCTGGCTGTTGTCCCTAGGTTCTTGATCATTTCGTTGGTTATTACATCAATTCCTGGCTACTTTCCCATTTTCAGCTTCGATATTGCTAACTCCAATTCGCTAAACGTAAGTGGTGCTTCCATTACCACAGGAATTATATCTTGATTGTTTTCGTTTCTCTCGAACCTCTCGCTGTTTCTGTGGACTGACATGAATGTTGCACTCTTTATTAAATAAATCTGCAAAGTGATCAGCAGCCAGTTTTTTTGTATTTTGTTATTGTTGTTAGGAGGGCTCCTTCTGAATATATTGAGTATTTGCCTTTCTCCATGTACTCTAGTCATTATTTTAGCTTACCAATCTTCATAGCTTTCGTGTGTTTCTTTCAAAGTTTAAAGACTGTTTTTTTTTTTTTTTTACATGCCTGTCTAGCCTGTAGCTTGGCTGTTTGAAATTTGGCCTTTGCATGTTGGTATTTGTTAAACAGCTCTTGACAAGGTCTGATTTCGGTGTTCTTTCGTTAGGTTTTCATATCATTGTGCAATTGTTCTAGGTCAACAATTCCAGTATGGTTTATCTTGCTTACGTGCTCCTCTTGGAATTGTTTCCACTGCTGACTGCAATATACATTTGCTGAACTCTTCTACTACATTGTCTGCATTGTTATCTGTTTTTATATTTTTAACCAAAACACTTTGTAAGGTGCCGAAACAGTTTCCAGTCTGCCTTCTTGTATTTCCATCATGGCAAAGTGCTGCTCTTTCTTATAGACTGGTTTTCTATCGTTAGAAAGACTGGGTGGTGATCACTACCTCCTAGTTGTTTCGCAACAGTTCTAGTAATGTCCCATCCCATGTCTGGTAAATGAAAGGCTAGGTCTGGCGTAGAGGTGGTATGCCATGTCTGGTGAATGAAAGGCTAGGTCTGGCGTAGAGGTGGTATGCCATGTCTGGTAAATGAAAGGCTAGGTCTGGCGTAGAGGTGGTATGCCATGTCTGGTGAATGAAAGGCTAGGTCTGGCGTAGAGGTGGTATGCCATGTCTGGTGAATGAAAAGCCAGGTCTGATGTAGAGGTGGTATGCCATGCTCTTGAGTAAAAGGTTGGTGGGTCGGTTGGCTTATTTATGAGGATGAATCTGTTTTCATCCTGCCAGTCCTCCAGTTTCTCTCCTCCCTGATCCATGTGATTGTAGCCCAAGCTTTCTGAGTGACTGTTGAAATCTCCACAAACAATCACTTTTTTTTTTTACTATTACTGTATCCAGTGCCCGACGGCGGTCGCTCAGACAGTAAAAGTTGATTAGTTGGACATTTTTGTTTTATCTCTTTAGCTAAAGAATCTGGTACCTCGCCACTTCAATGTATGTTTCAGTCTGGCATACAAATATGTTATCTTTGACTAGGGTTAGTATTCCATCTTTCCTTTTGTCATTTCGGTCAGATCGGTAGGTCACATTGGTAGCCTCTGGTCTTAAAGGCTTTGTCTTGTTTGAGGTAGGTCTCCTGACGGCAGCATGCGTGTATCTGTTCTTTATTTAAAGTGTTTTCTAGTTCTAATTTTGTACTTTTAACTCCATCTGTGCATGATTTGGAGACTAGATCTTTTTGCAGATATAGATATATTTCCTATAGCGTTTGTGCGTGGCATCATGATTTTCACTGTCCGCCTCTAGGCTGGTTGCCTCCGACTTCACCACCTAATTTTAATTATTCTGGTAAGCTAGATCGACCAATTCGCATATGGGACAGAACTACCCAGCCTGACACGTGTGTACTTCTGTAAATAGGACTTTGGCATCATAGGCATCATTGTCGTATTAACGTTTGTACTTAACGCCGACAGTGTTGATTTGTTGACTTTTGTGTCTGGTGCTGAATACCTTGAGTATGAACTTACATCAAAACAAAGGTAACCAGAAACACACAGTCCTGATGCATTTTAGAAACACTTCTGCAATCTTCTGGCAGTCATTATTTCAACAAAAATACAAAGTACATACACGATAGAAAGCTAAGTATATGATTTATGTAAACTAATCGAAACGTGAAAATTTCAGCCACCATTTTGTTGCGTCCGGTGTGCAATAAAGAATTGTATTTTGATTTTCACCTCAAGCTCTCAGTATTATCAAGTTACTATTGAGTTTATTCAAGAACCGACATCACATCACTCGGGCATTCCTATAAGTGCTCCGTCCTCATCTTCAGCAGCCAGGGAAGTGTTCCGATACTAATGTTGCCAGTAGCATTCTGATTAAACGTCAGTCTTGCCTTTCCACTGAGCCTCGAGCATCTGTCGGAACGCCTCATTACTCTCCACTGCATCAATCTCACAAAACTGTAGTGATCCATCTGCTCTTGCGAACTGTACACGCTCTTCCACAAGGCCCTAACCCCGTCTGCCTTATCATGCATCATTATTCCACCAAGTTGTGCAGAGCCAGTCAGTCTGTATGTCTGTTCATTTCCCAACACACCGGCGTATCTCGGTGAAAAAATCCAGTCAATACTCCGCACCCGTGTCCTCCGCAGTAAAGCATGCCACTCTGCACGAAGCATGCCTGTCCTAGCCTTCCTCAGCATGCTTTCTGAGTCAGTTTCAATCACGATGTGTGTGTGTGTGTGTCGTGTTCTCCAACCAGCGGAAAGCTGCAGTGACCGCCTCAACCTCCATTCTTAAACTGGATGCTGTGGTATCATACGCCAGGCTCCCCTGAACTAAACGTCGACTATTAACTTGTGCAAAGAAACCCAAAGCACTTCTTTTGCCTCTTGACACTGAACCGTCTGTGTAAATAATCAAATCCTCTGATTGAGGATTATCTTGAATTATTGCTGAATTTCTACCTCCGTGGCACCTGCTGGTCAGTATTTGCATTCCTGGCTCAATGCTCAATCCCCTCTCCTCGCCTAATGTTCTCAAGGATGCAAACCTGTCTGATTGTGTCTTCTGCCTGAGCCACCCATGACTTCCCTCTTATCAGCCTCTGACCCTTAACTGCCCCCAGAGCTTCATGCAATGGGTGATCTGTGTCTGCAGCTACCCTGCAACTATCACGATATTGTAATATGTATTAAAGGATCTCTGTTAATCGTCAGTTCATTTATCCATCAAAGCCCTGGTTCAGGCGGTGATGGTTAATCGAAGTTTAAGCTTGAGTTTTGCTTGCCTTTCCGTTTTAATTATTTAAACTAATCACTTCACGGGATTGAAAGAAACGATTCACGAAGAGAACTGATTGCCAACAGTAGAAGGAGACAATCTACACTCTTCGGTCATGTCATGAGAAGGAGAAAACTGGAGTACAACGTGACAGTGGGTAAGTTCGAGGGGAGGAGAGGCAGAGGGAGGTTGAGAGAGAAGACTTTGGGCAGTTTAAAATTATGTCATGGAAGATCATCAGTGCCCTAAGTGATTAAAAGTAGACGAGACAGAGGGTTGTGGGTAGACTTGACTACTTATGCTACAAAGCATGGACTATAAGAAGAAGCATTTATGAGCTGGGGTCTCTAGGACATCCGCTAACTGTTTATATATAAGGAACATTAAGAGGCGTGTCAGCCGGCAAGCTGACCACAACCTCCCCTCGAAAAAGTCGAAAGTCAGCATTTTGTGACCATTTAAATCATCCTCATTTCCTTTAAATAGGAAAATCTTTATTTGCAGGGCGATTTTTTCGCCTTTGAAACAAAAAAAAAAAAAAATGTGTGACCATTTGGTTACGACTGTAGCTTAGTTTTTGAGATTTTTTCTGGCCAGAAAATTGTGATAACTTTACATAGACATGGGTGGTGGAACGTGGAAAGCCTGTGCGCATCCTGTCCTGGTCATTTTCTAGAAATCTTCTCCATAACGAATAACTGGCAAAATGATGCTCTTGTTGAGTATGAGTTGTGTTCCCTAAAGTTAACTTTTGCATTTCCAGATTTTACTCATCCTTGTTTGGGTTGGAGAACAAATAATTTTCGTATATTTATCCAGCGCAATTGTTAACTAGGGCCAAGCCATCTTTTCTTTTGTCATTTTCTTGAGCTATTTTCACATCATCTTTATATTACTATATTGCTTCTATCTTCTCCATATATTTGAATGTTTTCCTCCCATTTTCATTTTCCAAGCTGGTTAAGAGCCAAAAGAAGAAACAAAGGATAATAATACTGACAAATATCACTCAGCGAGTACCAGTTCTTCTATTCTACATCTTCAGTTTTCTGAGCCATCAGAGTTCATTTCTGTAGATCATTCTAGATTTTATCATTCCAGATGATGACTCCAGTTATTTGTAGATTAGCCTGACGGGTGCCTCTCCCATGTCGTAGAAGTCGACTAACTCCTTTGAAGTCAGAGTGCATCTGCCCGAGCGACAAGGAACAACCGGCTGCACACATTTAAGCTAGTAAAACGGATGAACACGCAAAAATCAGGCCCTGGCACAAAGTAAAGAGACGAATAACCAGGAATTTCCGCAGGAGCTTACAGCCGGTGAACAAATAAGAAAGAAGAAGAAGAAGAAGAAGAAGAAGAAGAAGAAGAAGAAGAAGAAGAAGAAGAAGAAGAAGAAGAAGAAGAAGAAGAAGAAGAAGAAGAAGAAGAAGAAGAAGAAGAAGAAGAAGAAGAAGAAGAAGAAAAAGAAGAAGAAGGAGAAGAAGGAGAGAAAAAAAAATAAAGAAAGAAAGAAAGAAGAAGAAGAAGAAGAAGAAGAAGAAGAAGAAGAAGAAGAAGAAGAAGAAGAAGAAGAAGAAGAAGTAAAATAAGAATACTCTTTTAATTTTACCTTGCGATTACTGGTAATCAGCTAACGTTGAACTAAGACTTTCTAAGATTTGAAAATAGTTGACGGTAAAGTATGTGCTACGTATCGTGAAACTTGGGAAGAATTAAATCGTCTTGAAAACGCTGCACATTGGGACACTTCACTCG